GAAGCAGTGCAGCTGAGACTCAAGATCAGCACTCACTCCCCCCACCCACTCCCTTGGCCGCAGTGCTTTTCCGCCTGTGAACAAAACCTGCCTATTTCCTTCTTCAACCAGACAGCCATTCGACTATACCACTCTCCCTTCACCCAGTTTCATCATTAGGGAGAAGAAATGTATTAGCTTCACACATCTCGGAGCTAAGGAAGTAGGGACATCTTGGTCGTCGAAACCTCAGGAATATGTGCGGTTTTAAGCCCAGACCTTGTGCTGTGGCTGGCGGGGGAGCTAGGGGTGGGCCTGGGCTTTATGGGTGCCCCCAGCTTGGCCCTGGAAAGTCTGCAGTGAAGGGCGGGGGAGATGGAGGCTGTGGGGCGGCTCCAGTGCAGAGGGCAGCCCCATGTGCTCTGGCTTTAAGAGCTGAGGCATTTTGTGCTGAACCAAGAAGCTTCCCACTTAGCTAATTGAATGTCCTTGCTGCATACTGTGGTGCACCTCAGCAGGGCCCAAACCTCATCTGATGTGCACGCGAACTGCAAAGAGAAAATGGCGTTGGAGGGTTTAATGGAGCAGACAGTGCTGCAATCCCAGGGCAACGCCAAAGCCTGGGCCAACGTGCAGGCTCTCAGCCAAAGAGGGAAAGTGCTGTGAGTCAGCAACCTGTCCCATTTTCCTCTGAGGCCCAGGGGCTTCCATTAAATGCTGCAGTGTCCTGATTACTGAGGGGAGGGAGGCTGAAGGAAAACCGTCATCCCTGTGCTCTCTCTCCTCTCACAGGGATCCCAGAAGCTGAAAGGAACTGGTCCCAGGGGAGGTGGCCGGCCGGAAGGGTGATGACATTCAAACACTCTGCCTCCTAAGGCCGTGTCAGAGTGGGCGAGGTAATTTTCTGTTGGGAACCTTCACATGTTGGTGACTGCCTGCGGGGAAATCTTCAACCCCGCCAGCAACGGCGTGAAGGCAAAGCACCATCATGATCCGATGCTGGTCCAGGGACGAGGCCCCGGCGGGCTGGGTGGATCCCTCTGTCCATCAGCAGACCCCGGCCACAGCCCACATGTTAACTCAGGAGCCCTTGCAGCAGTCCAAACCCCCTTCTGGCCTTGTCTGACTTTGTAAGATTCCTTCCAGATTTCCTTTCCCATCCTTAGTGACCACTCACAGTCTCTTTGCGTACGAGGTTTGTCTGGACTCGGAAGGCAAGTCTCTGGTCTCTCGATACCAGGCTCTGGGCTCTGTGCCCTGACTCTTCTGCCACCACAAAGGCAACACCACAAATACCTTCTCATCGGCATCACTTGTCATGCAGACGCCAGTTTTTGATTCTTTCCCGCTAGCACAAATCCTGTTCACGGTGTGAGGAGGGCCAGTCCCTGGCTCTGAGTCGCTTTATCATGCTCCCAAATTCCTCTCCTGCTGGGGGAAAACTCCATATGCTATCCAGGTGGTGGTGCTCAGAGGTCTCCTGAATGAAAGAGGATGGGGGCCAGGACCCGCATACTCTTATTTTTCTATGGGCTGTGACATCATTTACACAATGCAGAATTTCAGAGGGAAAGGGGACACCTTTTCGTTTTCTCAGAGGCTGCAGGGAAAGTGGATGGACTTAACAGCTCTTGTCTGTTTTAAGTAAAGTAAAAAGATGCGGTGTTGAGAAGAAGACAGAGCAAGATGTCAAAGTTACTTTGTAAGTGATTCTAAGCCACGTGAGCCGGAAAGCCCTTTAGCCTGGATAAAACCAACAATATGAAAACCTAAACACGCACTGAATAAGTCAACCGTGCCGGTCAGGCTCACTCTTCTCTTTGTTCCCATTTACAGCCCTCCCTGTACATACATGATGAAGTTCCAGGGGCTTCCCAGGTCACCCCCTGGGAGAGGTAGGAAGCTGAAGAGTCTCAAAACTGGCTGCAGAGAACCAGCTTTAAATGGCTTTAAAAACCATCCATGCAGAGTCCCCAACCCAAATGATCAGATTCGACTGATCTGGGGTAGGACCCAAGCATGGATATTTTCAGAGGGTAACGGAAGTGGTAAACTTTTATGAGAAAGTATTTATAAAAAAAAAAGTGTAACATCCATATAGTGACGTACGCAAATCTTAAGTATCCAGCTTAATGCATTTTTATAAATGAATATACCCTCCCCCACACCAAGATACAAAACATCATCATCCCCTAGAAGCCTCAACACAGGATTTTTAAAACTAAGTGCTTTTCTTCTGAAATAATTAAAACTCTTCAAGTTGCGAGAGCATAACAACGAACTCAGCAAGGGTATTTAAAAGTCTCCCCTGTTGATTTTAATATACGGACAGGCTTGTTTGCATTAATTATTGCTTTTGCCACATTTCTGGCCATGCAAAGCCTTCAATGAGGCATGGGTGTAAGGTTTTAATAATCTGTTACTGATTTCTTAAACAGGTCATTATTTCTCAAGGTTCCTTTAACATAGAAATTAATGTCAGCCTCAGATACACTTAATTTTGTTATATTGTCACTGGTTTTTTGGTAACTTTTTATGAATTGTTTATGATTCACAGCCTCAGCTCTTTCCAGTTATGTATGGACTAGGCAGCCCTTTTTGCCATAAAAAAGAATATCTTATGTGTGCTTGAGAAAAATAAAGGTGAGATTACACTCATTCTTTGTGGGTCAGCCACTGGCTGATGGCTGGCAAGTCCGGGGGCAAAATCTGGAGCCTGCCATAGCTTGAGGGTAGGGATGTGTGAAAGGCAGGAGTTTGAGGAACTAAATACCTAGTGAGAAAAAAACAAAAACATAAACAAAAGCAATCATGCCCAGGCCTGGTGGAAATGTGCAGACTGCAGAAGCCAGTCTGAGTTAATGAGCTTAGGGAGAACAGCAGGAGGAATCCTGACACAGGATGGGAAGGGGACCAGGGAGGAGACAGCAAAAACCCCGGAGCCAAGGAGCCGTGCTGCCGTCAGAGGCTGAGACACAGGCTGGCCTCGGAAGGAATCCAGCTGCCGAGTAAAGCTGTCAGCAGTAACAGAGCTGGCCAGTGGGGCTGCAACCGCAGCATCTCCTTTTTTTCTCCTTACACAGAGTTCTTAAGAAGCAATTTTTTTGGGGGGTGGGCGCCTGGGTGGCTCAGTTGGTTAAGCGACTGCCTTCGGCTCAGGTCACGATCCTGTAGTCCCTGGATCGAGTCCCGCATCGGGCTCTCTGCTCGGCAGGGAGCCTGCTTCTCCCTCTGACCCTCCCCCATCTCATGTGCTCTCTCTCTCATTCTCTCTGTCTCAAATTAAAAAAAAAAAAAAAAAAAATCTTAAAAAAAAAAGAAGCAATTCTTTTTTTTTTTTTTTAAGATTTTATTTATTTATTTCAGAGAGAGAGAGAGAAGAGGGGGAGGGACAGAGGGGGAGGGAGAAGCAAATTCCCTGCTGAGCAAGGATTCTGATGTAGGGCTCGATCCCAGGACCCTGGGATCATGACCTGAGCCAAAGGCAGAAGCTTCACCGACTGAGCCACCCAGGCGCCCTGAAGCAATTCTTTACATGGCAGCTGAGTGGTTTTTCCATTCAAAACAGCCAGCTAGGTGGGGCGGCAGCTAGATGCCCGCCTACACAGAGCAAGTTCTGAGGGTGGCTGAGGTTGTCAGGGCCCGGACAAAGAAGGAGAATCACCTGTAATTCCTTGGATGGTGGGAGAAGACAAGCCTTAGGGTGGACATGAGTAACTGCCTGTGTGAGGGTATCTCTGGCCCTGAACCGACCAGAGTTTAAAAAAGGAAAACCCATCACTTGAGCTTGGCACGCCACACTCAACTTAAGTGTTTGGCAAAGAAAAGTTCTCTTTAGGCCAAGTAACCAATTCCTTATGTCTTCCTTGTTATTGTTATATACAATTTTGATTTGCATGTAACTTTTTAGGTTTATTAAAAGAAAGAGTGTGACAAACAGGAATTTTGTAACTCAGTACGATAAAACAAACTACAGCGCATTTGAATACTAAAGTCTACATCTTGTCTTTGATTTCATAAATGAATCAAATTTACCCATTGTTGTTCCCTAACAGAACTAGGTTTTATAGTGAAAATCGCTCTGTTATAAAACAAAAGCAGGAAAAAAAGAAAATGATCCAAAAGTGAATTTTTGAAATCTAATTTTTTACCCAATGATCAATTAGATTTTAGGTTGAACAAAGAGTGAGTTTTTAAAGTCCACATGTGGTTTTAATTTACACAATATTGATAATTTGCAAACTTTAACATGTTTGCTCTCTCTCTCTCTCTCTCTCTCACACAGACACACACAATCAGAACACCTCCCCTCCCCTTTGCCTTATATATTGAATTTGGTTCCTGGATTCTGTGAACCTCTCCCTGCATTTCACTGTTTGTGGGTGAAGCACCTGGAAGTTTCTGGCTTCCAAGCAGGACAATGCTTACTGCCCAGAAACAGGAGACCTTTAAGTGTTCAGAGATGGCAGGAACAGCAAGTGCTTAGAAGAAACTGTGGAGGGATCCGGACAGCAAGGACAGTCGAGTCACCTCTTAAGCTCCGCAAACAGATGGTCCATGACAAGACAGGAGTCTTCCTGCTCTCATCCTGATTCTGAGCTGCCAGCAGAGGCGGGGCTGACAGGGGGTTGAGCTTTGGACTGGACCCAGAGGGGATGAATAAAGGCACTTGTGTGTGCCTGATGTGTACGACAGTCCCCCAAACAACAGTAAGTCCTGTTGCCTTACATGCTGATTATGACCTGTGTCTCCTCTCATGTCCATTTGGGGGGGGACCCCAGAGTTGATAGTACACAGAAAGCCAATGAAAGTGATCACTTGAAAAACAGCAGAAGGCAACAATATTCCTACAGGACCACTGGTTCTCTGTACTAGAGGGAAAATCCTAGATATTACAAAAGGGAAAAACTTGATCACGCCAGTGTCATTCTCAAACCAGCATTTACAAGACAGGAAAGGGACAGAATGGAGGCTGAAGTAAAATAAGATGGCTGCCGGCTCGCGTCAGGCCAGCCTCTTACCATAATACGGGATGATGGCCCAGGCCATGGCAGAGGCGTAGATGCCACCAACCATCCAGAACATGCAGAGCCAGCTCAGATGCTCCCCCCGCTTCTCTCGGGCCAGCACTTCAGCAAAGTAGGAGAACACCGTGGGAATGGCTCCTCCGATCCTGCCAAGAGGGACAGAGAATATCTGAAATCAGAGCCAGGACAGCTATGGGAGCTGCAAAGGGCAGAACCAAAGCAAGCTCTAACAACACACGCTTTCTCTCTATCCCAGCGCATCCAGAGATGTATATTTTCTATCATTTTAGAACTTTAATATTATAATCCGCTTAATATAGGTTTATTATCCCTCCAGAACCTGCAATTAAGGGATGTTACCAAAAGGTGGCAGTGGTGCCCTAGTCATGGGGTTTAGAGATCTTAACCTTGCCTAAGAATCTGAGGGGCTTTCCGCTCAGGGTTGCATGTGCTACGTATTTGCAAAAATTACACTATTGGGTCTAATCTAGTAAATATTTTAATGAACACATTTTTAAAAAGAGAGACTAGGACGTGTCCTACCCACGACATGGTGACTTTGGAAAGAGCTTCAGACATTGCTGGGAGGCTGTCCGCAGCTGGACTTACTCCCTGTTACCCTGCAGCAGCTGGTCCTGCAGCCCGTCAGGCTGTTGTGCTGATGGACACAGGCCCAATGGGGTTGCTTCCTGGGCTGCTCTGGTCTCAGCCCAGTAGATCTCACTGCTACCTCAGTACCTGTGTATGCGCACTGGTGGCATCCAATCAGGTGCTGCTGGTTTCCACACCAATAGAACGGGGTACAGCGCTTCCTTCCAGTAGGGTAACTACAAGGGATGTTGCCATGAACAGTGACTTCCATTCAGGTTAAGGGTTCCCCAGTGAGGGTCTACGGAATAAATATTCTGTTCATTCTAGGCAGATGGGCCCTAGGTCTCATCCAAATTTCAAACAGGTCTTGACCCCCAATTTTTAAAAAACCCTGTCTCAGAAAGTAAGAGAGAATGAGAAAACATTACTTACCAACATTCCAAACAGTATGAGTTCTTAAATATTTTTTGAAAGATGTACAACAATATGCACAAAGTACAGAGAAAACACTTAGCAATACAGTTTTAAAAATATGTGCCGACTCCTTTATGTTCAGATTTCCGTAAGGTAAATTGCTATTGACATCTCATGTCAAGAAGTAAAACATGTATTTATGCAGTTAGCAATAACTGATTTCCTCAGAGCCTTTGATGTGATAAAGAAGTATTGGCAGCGGGCGTCTGGGTGGCTCAGTTGGTTGAGCGACTGCCTTCGGCTCAGGTCATGATCCTGGAGTCCCTGGATCGGGTCCCGCATCGGGCTCCCCGCTCGGCGGGGAGTCTGCTTCTCCCTCTGACCCTCCTCCCTCTCGTGCTCTCTGTCTCTCATTCTCTCTCAGATAAATAAATAAAAATCTTAAAAAAAAAAAAAAAAGAAGTATTGGCAGTGACCTTAGCAAAGGAAATTTAAAGAAAGGCCTTATCTGTAGCAAACTAGATGTACCAATCGAATCACGGGATTCATAACGTCATTCTGCATCAAATGGTAGGTCAAAATACAGCACCACTTCATTCATTTGCCCCTGCTTAAAGTGATACGGTGGTTATCTACTGCTAGATATGGGCAGATCACTTAGGCCAATGCTTTTCAATCTGTGGGCTATGAAATTAATTTAGTAGCTATTAACAGAATTTTAAAAATTGAAATAGAGATGAAAATGGTTACGTACAACTCAAGTAATAAGGATGAGCAACATTTCATTAAACTTTTGTCTTCATGACAAACATATTTATAATGTAGAAAGTACATACATATACGCATATACGTGTCTACATATAAATGTATATATAAACAAATAAATACGTGTATAAATGTATATTGGATTGCAATATGTTTCTTAGTGGGAATTGCTATTCAAAGACTTGAAAAAAGACTAGCTTGAAGCATCCATATCTGCTCCTCTGGGCCATGAATGTGGCAGTTCTACCCCAAATTCCTAAGCTCCACGTGACCTCAGATACAGCACGTGGTGATTTGGCGCCATCACACTAGGGGTAGCCAAGCAGTCCAAGGTCATCAAGTGGACCCCCCCACACAAGAAAGAAATGCATGTGGTGGGCGTCAGAGCTGGCTCTATCCCACACCACATCAGGCTCCCACAGTTCTCTCCCTGGCTTCTCAAGGACCAGAGACCATGGACAGCTGGCTGAATTTTAAAATTCCACAAAGCTCTGAACAGATTTAAAGTGGTTTCATTACAACACACAATTTTAATAGGAAATAAAATGGCTGTGTCATAAATCATTTAATGCTACTGCTTTTTTCATTTGATGTGAAGAATCCGTTTTTCTGCATCATAAAGTCCCAGGTCCCTAATCTATGCCTTCACTTCTCAATGCATAAAAAGAGTCCTGGTTTTTATGGACTTTTCACGTCCCAATTAATGTTTCATCAGGATTCTGGACATTCCCTATGTTAAGAGCTATCACTCACACTTCATGAAGGCACAATTGCATGTAAGATATGCCAGGCCACTGGGAAATGAGATAAATGTACTCTGGGGTGGCTCAAGTGGCAAGCGGAAGACTGTAGACTTGCCTGTTGGCTTTACACAAATTATTGTTGTGTAAAAGAATACCAACTTTTGGGCGCCTGGGTGGCTCAGTTGGTTAAGCGACTGCTTTCGGCTCAGGTCATGATCCTGGAGTCCCTGGATCAAGTCCCGCATCGGGCTCCCTGCTCGGCAGGGTGCCTGCTTCTCCCTCTGACCCTCCCCCCTCTCATGTGCTCTCTCTCTCTCTCATTCTCTCTGTCTCAAATAAATAAATAAAAAATCTTTAAAAAAAAAAAAAGAATACCAACTTTTAGGGGAATATAAGCAAATCCAGCTGGTTCTGATTCAGTGCCTCTTTTTCAAGGTGGTTATTTTTGCATGGATGTCCCGCAATATCTGTTTGCAAAGCAGATTGCAAAGAACTCTAATACCAATGGATAAATGAGTCTGAAGAATGAGTGAGGGAGTCTATTGAAATCCTTTGCAAAGTTCTTCAGATTCAGAGCCCTACAAAACAATGCAAGCATTCATACTTCTCACTGTGGGCTGATCATCCATTTTAGGGAAAACATTACTCCTCGTGTTACTGTGACAGTCTTTAAGCAGAAAAAAACACTACAGCCTGCTGTAATGTTAACTATTACTAGTGTTTCATACACCGGCAGAGATCTTAAACATTGTTTACACTAGACTGAAGGCTCCTTGAGGGTGAGGACTATATCCCATTCATCTTCGAATCCCCATTACCTGGCCCACAGGACATGCACTCAGTGCTCCTCAAAAGAGCTGGATTTCTCTGCTGATGGAGGTGCCACTCCAAAAGGACTGGAGTAACTTGTTCTGAGGACGTAAAGATCTCCCATGAATGGAAACATACATCTTATGTTCTGGGTCAATGTAATTATGAGAGAAGTTGTGGGTGCTGGAATGGAGGTTCCGATAGCAACAGAGCCCCCCAAAGAGTTCCTGAAATCAGTCTATGTCTGAGTTGCATGGTCACCTCTTGACCAGGTGCCCTGGTGAAAAAAGTTACTTGGAACCCCTGGGCATAAGACACTGTGCAACCCTCTTCGGCACTAGGAACTTCCAAAATACCTTGGTACTTTATTATTATTTTTTTAAAGATTTTATTTATTTATTTGACAGAGAGAGACACAGAGAGAGAGGGAACACAAGCAGGGGGAGTGGGAGAGGGAGAAGCAGGCTCCCCGCTGGGCAGGGAGCCCGATGCGGGGCTCGATCCCAGGACCCTGGGATCATGACCCAAGCCGAAGGCAGACGCTTAACGACTGAGCCACCCAGGTGCCCCAATACCTTGGTACTTTAAAGAAAATTGCTGCAGAATGCTATAATTACCAACAACAATAAAAATTCAGATAAGAGATAAAGCATAAGTTTTCATCACAATATGATTTTGTTCAAACTTTAAGTATTGAAGATAGGAAAAAGCTGCCCCCCCCATTTTTGTAAGTAAAAAAAAAAAAAGAAAAGTTTTCATTGTTCTACATCAATAGTTCAGTATTTTGTGTGAGGGGCTATGCATTTCCTGATTTGTTTTATTGTATCAAGATAAAATTTCTGGGAATACATGAAGAGATAACAAATATTTGAATGGCAGTTCTCGAAGTCCCATGTATCAGTGGTTCTTAAATACAGTTGATTGTGTTCTCCCCCTCCCAACAGACATTTGGCAATGGCTGGATACATTTTTAGCTGTCACAACCCAGGAGGTGTTACTGGCATAATAAATAGAGGCCAAGGATGCTGCTAAAAGTCCTAAAATACAGAAGACAGCTCCTTGCAATAAAGAATTATCCATCCGAAAATATTAATAGTGCTGAGGTTGAGAAACTCTTGTAATGGGGATTTAATATGGAAATATACCTTGTTTTATACTAAAAATTCATAATATAAGGCATGAAATGGTTATCTTTTACATTACCTGATATGTAATATATCTCTAAATCCAGTTAGCACAGGGACCTTTTTATTGTTCATTATATAATGATCAGTTAGCTACTGTTGAAATTTTCTCAAGTTCATTTTTGATGGAATGTTTACACAATGAAGCCATCAGATCAGGGTGGTTTGTAAAGAATTTTTCTCAGGATCAGATATTAAGTCTATTTTACTAACTGTCAAAAAGGGTCAAATATTAATTATCTTCAGTAAAAGGAGGCATAGAGGGAACAATAATTGAAATCCACACTCTATAGAGGTGGAGGATTAGCCAAATTCAAAATAATTGAATCGATACAACTGAAACAGAGCACTGATATTTGGAATTTCAGAGTTGGAGTTATTCTTAAGTAAGCTTAAGTTTACATTTTTACAACTTTAATTGTAGAAATATAAAGAAATTTTAAAAAATGTATTAAAACACATTCTAGAATAAGTTGGGACCACTCTCCAACCCCATTCTACATGCACATGCACCCACATGTGCGCGCGCACACACACACACCCGACCTCAAAAGGCCTACATATGACTCAATACTAGGTGTCTGGTGAATATCACGAAACATATTTATTTCCCTCAGTAATCTAAGGCAAATTCACAAG